AGCACAAGAGAACCTCACATGGCTCAGTCTGCACCCAGGTCTTGAGCTGAATTGTTCTGGGATTTGCCAGTTCTGCAGGGAAGCTTTGCCTACCTAGAGAGGGAAATCTGCAATTCCAGTTTTCTGTTCAGAATTTAATTCTTGAAATAGAAGGTGTTCTGATGCCATGGGTTGGCAATGAGAATTTAACTGATGACCAAAAGAGTAAATAAAAGCAATCTTGGATTGCTCAGGAAACTGATAAGCAGTATAATCTGTTAAGTTGGCTTAAATCCAGTAAGGTGAGTATTCATGCAAAGGCTCAGACATGCACACACACACTGCATTAGATTTGTAATGATTTTTTTCATATAGGTTGATGAAAGTCAATGTAATGAAAACTGTGGTCATTCAGTTCCAGTTTTTGCTTTCCAAGTATTCACGTGTTGTTACAAACGACACGAACAAGGTTAATAGAACACAGAAGTATTTAAAAGTTAGTCTGTAGTTTCCAATTCCTTTATACATCTGCCTATTAATAAGCCTTTTTATTTCTAATAGAACTGGTGCTTAAAGTTAGAATACAAAACCCTAATCTTAGAGAAAATGACTTCATTGAAATTGAACTGGACAGACAAGAACTGACCTACAAGGAACTGCTCCGAGTGAGTTGCCATGAGCTGGGTGTGAACCCCGAGCACGTACAGAAGATCAGAAAATTACCAAATACAATGTTAAGAAAGGTAAGAACTCTGCATTTTGAAGTGCAATAACTTATAAAAAATATTTTTAGATTACTGTTATAAAGGGATAATTTGTTGGTCACCTGCATAGGCCCATGTTGGAAAAAAAAGAAAAACAAAATGAAAAACCTTCCTTCAACTTCCAACACTCAGCAGTTGTTTTGGTTTTTTGTCAAGTAAAAAGGCTCTCAAAGTTTCTTTTCATAACCATTTGGTGTTGAACCCAATTAATACCTGGTTTTGTGAGCTGCCATCAGCATTTAAAAGGCCTGCAGAACTCAGCCGAACTCTGCAAGTTCATCAAGGCCTGGCTGGAGTCCTTGCACAGAGAGAGATGTTTCAGAATTACTCAGTGAGGTCTCTGAACAGAACTGTCCTTACTTCAGTGACATTTACCCCTGCAGCAAACACAAAAGGCACCTGCTGACCTGTTTTACCGACTCACCACTGACCTCTCTTTCACTCTGAAATCCTTGCAGAGCATTGTTGGCGTCACTCGTGGGCCAAATCTGATTAGGACTAGATTAATAGACTTCACCCTGCTGCATCTTCACTGACTATAGGATGACTTATTCTGTGTTAGTCAAGAAGTGGAGAGAAAAGAAAAAGACACAAGGAATTCTGTCACTTGCCAACTTCAGTTACTGTTGAAAGGAGTTATTATTTCTAGCTCTGATCACTTCAGGACACTTACTGTTCCTTGAGGTGACAAAAACCTAGTTCTGTGTCGTGCTGTTGGCAGCAGAGCAGGGCTGTGGGGGGCCCAGAGCTGGCCTTAGTGGGCTGCTCTGGAGGAAGCTGCATGCAGGACCTTCTTTGGTAGATGCAAGAATCAATTCATGAGCTTCTAAGAATTACCAAGCAGGAAAAAAAAGAGGAGTTGGGTGGCATGCAGTAGGTCTTGACAAGTGCAATTCCTCTAATCACTTGCACTCACCATCAGTGTTGCATTCCTTCTAAAAATAGACTTAAGTGAGTAGCTGAATAGGATCCCAGAATAAATATAAGATGCAACAGGATGTCTGCTTTCCAGCTTACTGTAAAGAATCGTCTTAAATACAGATACATACTTGTGTTAGTATGAGATAGTTTTAACCTACCTCTGCAAAATTAACAGACACTATCACCTAACTACTTATTTTATTTATTTAAAGGACAAAGATGTTGCAAGGCTACAGGATTTCCAAGAATTGGAGCTTGTTCTAACAGTGAGCGACAAAAACTTACTTTTCAGAGTCCCAACACTTTCTGAACAGAGTGGTTACAACAAGAAGGCATCAGAACTTACATACTAATTGTTCAAGGAATAAAACAAAATATTTGTATCTCTCATTTTAAAAATAAGTTTGAAATACAATATCTATAAGGGCTAATGATGTGAAAAAAATCTATTTTGTTAACCTGGAAATAAATTAAAGTGGTTATGCACAGTTACAGCTTCTAGTTAATCTAAGAGTAGTGAGTCTGATATGAAAGTAGCTCAATGCAAAGGAAGTATTGGCAGAACTATCTGTTAATGCAACACTTTTCCTTACAAAAAGATAATCTTCAAACACTGCAGAGTTAGCAGCTCTCAGGGAAAGGCTTACCTTAAGCTGTTCTAATAATTTGTTTGCTATAAAATAGCAGAGGTACTCAAGCTAAAGAACCTGCCACGAAGCCCATTTAGTATTTGTACTGAGTCCATTACCATTAATATTCCCTTTTTAGATTGTGTATATTAAGTCATATCTTACTTAGAAGGAAAAAAACAGAAGGGTTTAAATGTGTGGAAGAAGCACAAAACTATGTCTTGTTTAAATACTATCAAGTGACTTATTACCTGTGATTTCTTAATCCCTGTTTACACTTTTCCCCATTTCTCAGGTTAAAAATAAAGGTGATAGTAATTATCCAAATAATAAATATGCTCTCAACCAAAATCCCTTTTATTGTTGTCTGTCAATATATAGCATTGACATGTGCAATTTAAAATCCTATTCTTCTTACTGTATTGACATTTCTCCAATGCTGCTTTAATTTCCCCTTTTAAAAGCACAAAATTGTAATTTTATTTTCCTTTTGCCTCTGCATTCCTGAGAAAGATTGCATCTTGAACCTATAAAGTTGCCTGTGTAAAAAGAAACTAGTGAAGTGCCCAGTGATTTCTGGGCTGATATTAAATCTTCCTGTGTTCCTATGCAATGTATTTTATTTTTTTCCCTATGACTTGTGTTTACCCATGTTGTTTACTGAAAAAAAACAAAAACACAGTTACTTAAAATTCAGAATTTGACTTATTTGCTGTGAAATTCTGGAATAAAGAAATTGAAAAGTATTTAAGAGCTGGATTTTACCTGATTTTTTTTTTAGGATTTTAGTATTTAGTCTCTCCACTTGTATTTGATGAAGAGTTCTCTCGTAGCTTAAGTGAAAAGTGGGTGCTGTGGATTAGATGAGCAAACTAAAGTATCACATGTAACAGGCAAACAGAACACACCAAACTGGACTGAATTTTCCTGTGTCTTCGTCTTCCCCTTCCCTCCCCCCAGTTTCTTTGGAAACTGCAGCAACCAAAGGAATTTATCTTTGTCTTGTCTAAGAGTTCAGAGCTGTACAGTGTCTGTACCTGCCTGATAGCAGAGGTGTGCTGAGCTGGGAGCCTCCCAGACCAGCCGGAGGCGATGCCAAGGCCAGCGCTGCATCGGGAACTCCGACTGCTCCAGGTGATTCCCCCTGACTGGGGCCGGGCACCAACCTCGGCCTCGGCCCCTTTCTCAGAGTGAAGGAGAGCAGCCACCTGTATCACAGCCAATGCCACGGGAACTCACCCGACCCGGGCCGTGCTCGCTGCTCTGCCCCAGCGGGAGCGCTTTGAGCGCAGGGAGCAGCTCCTGCAGCAGGGACTGAGCACACAAGAGGGAGCCCGCTCCCAGCCTGCCGTCCGCGGGATGCCCGCTGCTCACTGGCAACACACATCGGTGCAAACACCCCAATTTCCTCTGTGCCAGTTCACTCGGCTGAAGTTCAGTCTCCTGAGGTGAATATAGAACATTTTGTCGCATCAAAACAGCCTCTTCTGCAAAAGCGCTGGAGGTCAAACGGCCCGAGGCATTGGCAATATATGGTTTTTATATCAGATTTCTGGTGGAATATTAACTTCTGTAGAATGGAATAACAAAATCATCGTTCCTTGCATCACCCTGGCTGTTGCTTTCTCCCTGGCACACAGCACAGGATGGGTCAGGCATGGTCTGAACACCAGCTGAATCAGGAGGGTACCAGGGTTAACCAGCCAGAGCCACCAGAGGAAAGCTTGGCTGTTGGGTCAATGATCTTGCACAAATGCTGACCCCTATCTATGCATTCCCAGGAATAGTTTTATGTTTTATGCAGTTTATACACTGAAGACACTATTAGCACTCCTGACAATCCCATCAGTGTATAACCACTACATTCTGTGTGTGATAAATAATTCATTGCTTTGTCCTCTGCTATATGAAATGTTAATGTCTAATGAATGCTTGGCTGCAGATTCGTGTTTCTATTTAAGAAGTATAATTTGTAAGGATTAATAAATGATTATTTTTGTCTTCCCAAAGTTTTTCTGCGCTTTACTCCTGGTAAAATTTTTTCTTGCCAATGGGTTTCTGGAGTGCTTGGTGTAGGAAGAAAACAACTAAAGCAAAAGAGGTTCTAGCAGCAAATACTGTTTGAACAGAGGACTCCTTTCATCTGAGGAGGGCTGGTTACCAGTAATAAAATAGATATTTACTTCTGTAAAACAAATCACACATTATTTCAGGTGATTAAGGGGTTGGACGAGATAAACTAAATACACACCAGCTCAGCATGCACGTTCAGCTAAAGTGGAGACTTACTCATAGTGGCTCCATACCTAAGAGAGATACAGCAAAATTCTAGTACTTCTGTGCCAATCATGTCCCTGTAGCCTTGTGTGGAGCCTACTGAATTGGAAAAAATTGTGTGGTTAATGATTTATGTGAAACCATTTGTAGGTTTAGTTTTAAATACATGTTACTTCTTATGCTGAAGAGGAATTTTATAATGCCAAAGTTGCCCTGGGCAGGCATCCCAAAGGTCCTGGGATAGCTCACAGCCTGGAAGCTGCAACATTCAACTTCCTTGCCCTGGGGAAATATTGAAAGGAATAGCTTGGAACCACTCAGAGGTTACACATCATTTCACTATTATTCAGCTGAGTCATGACTTAACTGGGCCTGTTTTCCACTTCATACCCAATGAATCCTTATGCAGAAAACACACAAACCAGGTGTATTTTGTACCATTAATATAATTTACTAATTACAAACCTGAATGCAGTACTTATTGCCCTGCAGTACATACATTTTCTTGGCAGAATGTTTGGCCTTCTTTGGGAAAAAAAAAGCATATAATAAAATACTTTATGTATATAGAAAATATTTAAAAATATAAAATTCACTTTCTGGTCCTTGTAATTGTAAAATACTTTGTTCACATATCACAAGTTGAGTCTACTACAAAAAATGTTTTGTAAAATTACAGTACATTCACAAGTCACTTTTGTGGCAAGTCAGTAATATTAAAAAAAACACCAAACCAAAACCCAAGGGGTCTTCTCTTCATGCCAGTCCAGCATCTTTGGCCATACTGTAGAAAATGCCCTTTGCTGCTATAAGGTTTGCAGGTGTGTCAAATTCAGCTATGGTTCCATTGTCTAGAACAAGAACCCTGTGAAAAACAAAATAGGAGGCAGGGGGGAAGATGTGTCAGAGAATTCCTCGCAAGAAATGTGATACCTGTTTTTATCACAAAGCAAACTGCTCTAATCTTTGCCTCACCTTTGTTTTCCTCAATTATTTTCACATAGATGACAAACATTCTCCCTGAGCTGCTGTTTGGCTAAAAAAGGTACAGGGCAGTCACTATCTCCTGGGTCAATAAGAGGGGAAAAGGTGTCATGCTGGTAGTTCTGGAATCAAAAATACAGTTCCAGAGAGCCAAGGAGATAAAAGCTCATGAAGTACACTAATATATTTTCAAGTAATTAATATGACATGCTGTTAGTGAAAAAGTTACAGCAGCTGCTGGTTTAACAAGGCTGCATAAGCTTCCTGACAGTGCCAGGAGTGCAGCTGGGCAGTGTCACCTGCACAGCTCTGGTTACTGAATATAGAACCTGTTTCTTACGCCAACAGAGCCAAAGTCAGGACTGGATATTCTGGGATTATATGGCTTAAACATCATTGCTTACATACTGCCCAGCAAGAGCATCAGTGTGCCTATCTAGGGACAAACCCGACCCCTTCAGGTGCTGCCTCACATCCCCAGCAAACCCACGAGTCTCCCCCACACACACCACAGAGAGATTGTACCTCGTGTAATCCATGATGGTGTTCAGCCTGTGTGCGATGGTCAGCACCGTGCAGTCCTCAAACTGGGTCCGGATTGTCATCTGGATGAGATCGTCCGTCTCCAGGTCGATGGCCGCCGTCGCCTCGTCCAGGATCAGGATCCTGGTCTTGCGCAGGAGGGCCCTGGCCAGGCACACGAGCTGCCTCTGGCCAACGCTGCAAACACGCACAGGCTGTCACCAGCGAGGCCCTGCTGCTCACAATCACCCGTGCTGGAGCAGGTCACTCACTGGGTGAAGTTACCCAAAAAACCCCAGAATGTTTAGCAAGCAGCCTTGCTAAATACCCACAGGTTGCAGCATGCCAGCACTGAGTGATATGTTACTGCCTGACCCAGTGCTGGCAGAGCCACCAAACGTCCCTTTTATCATCATGACAAAAGCCAGGGCAACTAATGATGACAATGCTTCTGCTCAAGCTCTCAGAAACACTCAAAGTTCTAACAACATTGTGAGTTGTTTAAAAAAAAAAAAGCTAATAAAAAGGAAAAAAAAGTTATGAGGCTGCAAATCCTTTCTACCATAACAAAAATAATATATGTATATATATGGGCAGCCAGACTTCCTCCTCTGCCACAAACACAGCCTAGGCTTAGTCTTTGTCTGAGTGTCTGCAGGATGAGGAAGGAGCTGAACATTCATCACAGGCATAATCTGGTGACACCACAGCCTCGGAAGCCAATGAAGCATATCAAAACATGGCATTTTTATCATCCCCAGTCATGTCTTCATGAGTCTTCCAAATAGTAATGGAAAATAAACATTGCTAAAGTGTCAGGCAGAGGACTCTTATTCAGCACAACAGTTGTGTATGTTATCAGGGCATTTCTCTTCCTACCAAACTGTGTTAAAGGACTGCCTGTCCCTACTATCTTGTCATCCTGAAACTTCTTTCTCTACTGATAAGATGGGATTTTAGTTTGGGAAAAATCCTTCCTGGAAGCAAAGAAGAATCAAATCGTTTGTGGCAGAGGCAGAACAGGAGGCAAATGTTTGAACCTTAGCGGCTTTCTTGGAAAAGGAATAGGGGGCTAAACCATTTCAGACACACCAGACCACAGTGTCAGCCTGTGCTCAGGTGTCCCACACTGCCACAGCTGAAGGAGAGCTCAGTGTGTGTCCTAGTTCAAGCATTCCTTACCTGAGGTTCTCTCCACCCTCTGAGCACTCATAGTCCAGCATGGACGGCTGACTGCTGACAAACCTCTTCAAATGAGACAGTTCAAGGGCTTTCCATATTTCCTCATCTGAATACTTATTAAATGGGTCCAGGTTCATCCTCAATGTTCCAGAAAAGAGAACAGGATCCTGGATATAAAGCCAGTTCTCATTAGACAAGTGTTTTAGCAGTTTTAATACTATGTTTTAGATACTACGAGTTACTTTGAGGTCTCCATTGCATTGCAGGGAGGCCACTTCCTAACCCCATCCACTCTGACAACACATTACATTATACACACTTCAAGTTCCAACTGTAAAGATGGTTTATCCTAAATCCTGTTTTATCACCCAGCATCAGCCTATAAGGTGGGGGAGACAGAACCACTTAAAGTATAAACAGTTTGTTTTTCTGAAACAATTTTCTAAGTGTAACAAAGCATTTTCCTCTGTGGATAAACCATTATTTACAGTTTGTTAAGCTGTTAGAGATCCTTCCTTTCCTGTGACACATAGAAACAGTACCTGAGGAATAATTGTTAGCCTCGATCGAAGGTCATGGAGACCAATTTCTGAAATTTTCACGCCATCAATTTTAATTTCCCCTTTTACAGCTTCCAGGATCCTAAAGAGACAGAGCGTCATGGAGGACTTCCCTGCTCCGGTTCTGCCAACAATTCCAATCTACAACAAATTGCAGGTTTAACAACAAAGCATATGGTTAAGAGGAAAACAACACCCAGCAAAAAAACCCCAAGACAACCCCCTAATATTCCTTGAAGAGGTTTGACACAATATCTGAATCTAAGAAAGAATGGAACATTCCTTTACTAGTAATCCTGGGAATACACTGTAAAGTACTTATGGTCATTCCTGTAATTGGAATAATATTCCATAACAATATGTACAGGCCTAGAGCCATTCTGTGTAACTTTGGGTGATTAGTTGGAGTGCCCATGGTAGGAGTCCAGTCACTCAAGGACAAGAAACAAAGACTTTTGGGTCATACTTCATGGTAAGTATGAGTATCTCCATGCCAGAAGGATGCTGTCATCTTGTCTGTCTAGTATAAGGATAATTCTCTTCTCTTTTAATAACAGCCTGTTCAGGGGAGGACTTTCCCATGCTAATTGCTCTGTCACCAGCAGGCAAACCCCAGAACTTTCCAATGAAGCATGAAGAAATGAATCTCTCAGAAGAAAGACCATTTCCTGATTAAGAAAGCAAAGAATGTCATTTTCTTGCATGCCAAAAAATTCATGGGGAAAGTCAGAGAGCAGAAAAAGCTGGAATTCCTTCTCCCATCTGCACTGCTTCAGAAAAGTGTTCTTGTCACTGAATTTTTGTCACTTGCACTGGTACTTCCTACACAGTGTATGGGAGCCTGTTGCCAAATGAACTTGGAAAGTCCAGAAAGTCCCATGCAATTGGTGCTTCTGCTTCCAGCCTGCAGGATGCTGGCACAAGGACAGCACAGTTGTCACTGCTGCTCCTGCATTGCCAGCTGGAGGAGGTCTCTACTGGGGTCAATGTGCTTGTAGACCCTCTTCTCTACTCCATGGTTGTCACTGGAGGCTCAGAACAAAGTTCTACCAAAGACATCCAGCTGGTAACTCACCTTTTCCCCACCATGGACTTGGAGGTTTATCCCCTTCAGCACCAGATCCAGACCCTTCCTGTACCTCACTGAGTAATTCACAAACTCCAGCTCTCCCTTGGATGGCCAGTCTTCTGGGGGACTCTTGCCTTCAATGATCCAGGGAGCCTAAGGAAAACACAAGTCAGAAATGTCTCACAAAGGCTTAAGGAAAAAAAAATTCAAACACAGGTACAAACATTTAAACTGATAAATCAAATATCCATTATCAAATAGATTTATAATAATGAAGGAAAAACATGGGTTCCAAGTATCTACCCATTTGTCTTTGATGTGAAGTTTACAGGAAAAAAAGTCTGAGCACAAAGGGCTAGATCCTCAATGGATATAATTTTTTCCTATTAACTTTAATAGAACACTGCTGGTTTCCTGCCAGCTTGAGCTCTGGTTTATAACATGTATCATGCACCTTGTCTAGCTTCCTTTTAGCTTCCAGATTAAACACTTGATCTCCAGAACCACACACTGGAGCTCTCCTCAGGTCCTCCATTTCCTAGTTCTTAGTATGTACACAGGGCTAACAAACCCCAGTGTGTCCAGAGAGCAGCAGCTTTCCTGGCATAGCTCCATCTGCCACCTTCAAAAGTCTTTGGCAACAAAGGCAGATGATTGGATGCTTTTCCTGGATTAGCAGTACAGTGTTCCTAGAGATGTTCTTCTCTCATGGGAGGTGAGGACTGATTAAGTTGATTAAACAGAAATACTATTGAAAACACGTGCAAGGCCTGATAATTGTACTGGAGCTGTGCTCACTGGCAGGATCACAGCACCAGTCACGCAGGTAAGACTGTGCATCAAACACTTCAAACCCAAAGGGACCAAGATTCTGATGTGAAACTTATCTCCTGTGCTAGCCACTCACAGCAGCAGAAAATGAGATGCTAAGCACAGGCTGCATGACAGCAATAACAATTTGGAGCTGTGATAGCATAAATTACAGTTCAGAGCATGACATTTGTTCAGGTTAAATGATAACTCTCAGAGCAGGAACTGTCTCTCAGGAGTCTGAAGAAAGACCATGTAAATGTGTGCATTAAAATTTCACCATGGTTGTTGCTGAGTACACTTGACCCTTGGCAGCTGACCTCTGTTTCAGTTTCTGAATATTCTTTTATTCTTTCCACAGCCACAATGTTAGTTTCAAGTTCAGAAGTCATTCGGACCATCCAATTCAGAGACAAGGTCACCTTGGAGAAGACAAGGAATAAAATATCACCCCCAGAGGAACAACAGATAGACTACTAATAATAACAACAGCAACAACAACAACCACAACAACAATAATAACAGCAACAGCAGACACTGCTATTAAGACGTGGATTCACATTCATATTACAAATGAAATAATTGCCTTTGCATTGATGTTAATACAGTTACTGGGACAAGGAGTCTACAGATTATCAGGTACTCATGTGAAGAAGCACATGCCTCCCACAATGATTTAACACATGGCCCTCTCAAAAAAAGTTGGTTGGCAGTCATTCCCCAAATCATGGGTCTCACTGGGAAACTCGTATCACCAATCCTGCACACTCATGGTATCTAAAATTCTTCTGGCAAGAGTGAGGCCATTAAATCTGCTGAACTGTCCACAGCTTGGGTCAGTATAGTTTACCTCTTCTGATTATGAATCCTACTGATCTGCCTGTGATTGCCTGGACACACCAATATGCTACGTAGCAGGAATGATGCAGGACATGTTAAACCCGTGCTGCCCAAATGACCTGTTCTTGGTGGGTGCACCTGACACTTCCTGAGCTTCCTGTGTGTCAGTGCTGGGGATACTGGGGTACAGAACAGTGTTGATGCTCTCTAAGTGCCCTGAAATCCTACTGCATGTGAGCTTGCTGATGGTCTGCCAGCCTTCACTGTAACTCTCTAGTTTCCAGACATCCCACAACTCATTTTTATTATTTCCTTATTAACTTCAGCTTTAACAAGCACTTAAAGTATTGCTAATATATCTATATAATCTACAAAAATGCAAACCCACCAATGAGCAGAAAGCTGTAACATGTACCTGTAGCGCATAAGACACTGACAGTCCCACCAGGCCAGCATTCAGGCTGTTTCTACCAATCACAGCAAAAAGGGCAGCAAAAAGGACAATGCAGTTCCCCACGAACTCAACTCGAATGCCCAGCCACCTGGGGAGAAGGCAGGTGTAAGTACAGAGGCAAAGGGTTGCTTGGACCAGTTTTGCAAACACGGGATTATCTAAGTGGAAACAAGAAATGATGTGCCTGTTACCTGTTTGATACTATCCCAGGGTAGTAACTCTTCTGATTTTCATCCACCTTCAGATCACTGATGTCTACAAAGGCCTTCACTCTCCTGTAGGCTCTGATGACACTGGCCCCTGACACTGTCTCTGAGAAGTGGGAGTAGATGGGAGATCTGCTCACGGACTCCAGGCGCTTCAGCTGGCGGGAGGTGGCGACGTAGAATCGCTGCCATTTTTCAGAGAAAATTGAAGGGTACGTGAAATAATGTCTCTTTTAATTAACAGTGAAGAATTTCTTAGGTTAAGGATTTAAAGGAGATTGTTACTAATGCACTTCAACCCTCTGAAATGTCTTCTATAATTAAGAAGAATTTCAAGAAAGTTATCTTTGTTTCTTTCCACAACAGAGCACGGAGTAACTGCAATTTCTGTAGACTGTAAGCTGAATTTATTTATGTCCCTTTAAATTTAGCTAATATAACCTAACAAAATGGATCCATCTGTAGAAGCCTTATTTTCCAAGAAAACAGAGTGTGCATTGGCACCTCCATTATAATGTCTCTATTCACAGTCTATAAAATACGCTTCATTTTCACTCAGAAATCAATACAATTGTTGCTTTCTATTTTCGACATTCTACCTCCTCACCACCTTAAAAACTTGTCAGTATGTCAAATATATTCACACTTTAATATACTGATATGCATTGCAGCTCTGTCTCTAGCAGTAGGCTTACTTTTTAATACTTAAAAGCTAGAAAAGGTTATGCCTATTTATTTCATGACCACATCTCACAGGACATTTCTTTTTCTGAGAGAAGTAAAATAATATTTTGTTTACATAAACATGTAGCTACTCCAGATATTTCAATTTCCCCCGAAATTAATGTTGTTTTTACTAACAGAAAAAGGAATGGAATAAGGTTACAATGGTAGTCAGATATTTTTCCAGTTACCTGAACAAAGAAGTACAGAATTGCAAGTGGAACTATAACCACGGCAAAGAGCGGAGTGCTCGCTATAATCACAATCATGGTCGATACGGAGGTGAAGAATGTGCCAAGGAACATCAGGATGGTTGGTGGGATGACCTCATCGATCACGTAGATGTCCTTGGAAAAGCGGTTGATGATGCGGCCGGTCGGGGTGGTGTCGTAGAAGGACTGTGGGGTGTGAAATTTGTTCTCCAGCAGCGCAGCGTGGAGCGTCCGGGCGGCGTTGATGCCTCCCATGGCCAGCGTGAAGGAGCAGATCAGCACTATCAGCCCTGGTGGGTGAGCAGGAGACGTGTTAATCCATGAACATGATGTTCCCAATTCACAGCTCCTTGATTCCTGGCTGTTACTGTTGAGCTTGAAGCTTTTTTTACTTTACTGTATTCCCTGTCCACCCTTCTCTTACCGTGCACATCAGCACTACAGCATTGCTGCCTAAGGCACAGGAACACATCCTGCAGGATTTCACCATCCTGTCTATGTAAAACAGGCACACAACCATCCTCCCTCTGCTTTCCGCAAGCCTCCATGAAGTCCTAATACTACAACTACACCAAAAATTGTCATGTTTTCTCTCCAACTTACCTCTCTAAAGCTTCCATGTCACCTGTCCAACCCCCTCTGAGGGCTTCACAACAAAATTAAGCACTGGGCTGAGCTCAGACTTTGCAGTACCAGGTTACATTACCTCCCTTGCTTAGGATAGGACCTGATCTAGTTCCAACCTCCCTGCCATGGGCAGGGACACCTTCCACTAAACAGGTTGCTCCAAGTCCCATCCAACCTCGCCTTGAACACTTCCAGGGATGGGGCAGCCACAGCTTCTCTGGGCAACCTGTGCCAGGGCCTCCCCACCCTCACAGTAAATGATTTCTTTCTAATATCTGATATAAATCTATTCTCCGTTTGGACCACTGGCTACTAGCTTTTCCACCTAATTCCTCTTCCCTAAGCATTGAGACATCATGATTTTATCTGCCCTCACCTTGCAAGAGGCCCAAGGCAGCGTAGACTCCGATTCTCATGGCTGTGTTGTGCTGAGTCCCATTCACCACTGGCTCATTGGTCCAGTCACTGAGCCACACATTGGCCCCAATGGCAGCAGCATTTTGACAGCAATATAGGAAACATATTGCTAAAGAAAGGACAGGGTTGACAGCCTTCATGTATTGCCAGAACACTGATAGCTTCACCTGCAAAATCACACACCAAAGCTGGTTTGTACAGCTCACACAAGCAGGAGTTTAGAGAGAATTAAGAAGAAAAAAAAATTCTTTGTCAGGGGAACTGCTGAGTTCAAAACTGCCCAGGCTTTAACACACCACAGAGAACAGTTCATCTGCCTGAGCTCCACGTCAGGGCGATGACTTTCAGAACAAGCCAGAAACTTCTCTGAAATACTCTTCTCCTCCTTGTTGAGGAACTGTATTTCATTAGTTTCGTGGGGTTTTAGTTTTTAAGACTATGCCAGAGGGGGAAAGAAAAGGGAAAGAAAAGAGGCTGATCAAATAGCAGCAAAGGATGGGTAACAAGAACAGAAGCCAAGTTTTTCATGCAAAAGAAGCAACTTGGCAGGCTATCATGCTCAGGACTACTTTAAATGGCCTATTTGAGGAAAAGTGCTGAATATGCCTCCATTCTGTGTCTTTACAGCAACTTAAATGAGGTACCAAATGCTGGTGCACCCCAGCAGGAATATAAACAGATGATGCTTGTGGCAAAGAGTAAGGGTGCTATCTCAAAGGTAGTGCAAAAAGGCAGAGAAGCCAAAAGAGATAGATTCAGGAAAAAACTCAGTCTTTAAAAAAAAAGCATAAGAAGGAATAATTTAAAATACAAGTGTTGTCGATTAGGGACTTTGAAAGTTAAAATAATCCACAGAAAAAATTAATTACATATGTGTGCCGTGGACCAGTAGATCAGACTAAACAGGACACACTGAGCCTTCTGAAGTGGAGGGGCTTTCTTTAAGCAAACCTCCCTGCTCCTCTTCCTTCTGCTGCTCCTTTATGTCCCTTTCTTTTACTTTTTTATTCCCATCTTCTCTTTTTCCCTGTTCCCATTTCACTCCCTGGCCCTGCTCAGGAGGAATACAGCCCCTTTGTACCTATAAGCACAAAATGCTCTCGGATGGGGGTGGCAGGTATTTAGGCAGAGCAGACCCTCTGGCACCCAGCAGGCAGCTGGCTCACGTAACCCACTGCTGCAGCTGGACCCAGCAGCAGCCAAACAGTTTAAAAACCAACAGTGCTGAAAGCTCTGCAAGGCAAAGGCAGGGACGGTATCAAGTGACTGTGACGGGAGCTGGAAGGGATTTTTTCTTTTTTTTTTTTCCTGTAAGTATATAGCTCTTGCTGGGTGCCAAAACCTCTGCCAAAATCCTAAATTTGAATGGTCAGTGGCCACCAGATTAAGGCCTAAAGCCTGCAGTCATGATTTATACAACACATTTAACAGAACTGGATCAAACGTTAAAATAAAAATGATTCTTTTTCAAACAGAAATGTAGCAAAAGGGGGGGGGGGAAATCAAACCATACCGTGCCTGTTTCAGTGGTTTCAGCCTGAATAAGTTTCTCGTTAGCATTTTTTCTTGGCAGAGGAGGCTCTGCTGGCTTCTTCTCACAGACTCTTCGTTTCGTTGACATTTTGTTGGGACATTCTCCTCCCTCAGAAGACACTACACTAAGTTGCCTGGTTAAAACAAAAGAGTCATTAGGAGAAAAAGGGCATATTGAAGCAGTGCTAAGGCATGACTGGGATGCAGCAGACTGGACTTATTCCCAGCCCTTCCACTGAGTTCCCATGCCAGCCTCACTCACAGATGTGGGTGCTGGTACCACCCCTCTGGATGTTCAGTGGTGTCAGAAATACAGCATCTAAGAACAGCTGTGGCAGAACCTGGGCTCTTTGGGAAAGGCCTTTAGAGGCTTCATGGCAAGGCAGACATTTCAAGCTAAACCCTGAGCTTCTCTGTTTGCATATCAAAAGTAGCTGGACGGATCTGTGGGTATGGTTATAAAAAATTCTAAAGATTTCTAAGATTCCCAAGGGAAAGGTGAAATGCAAAGGGTTTATTTATAGCATAACTGGCAGCAGTTTAGTGTTGAGTGGGTAAATACATACAGCAGTGTTACCTGAGAACCAGAGAGCTGCTTAAAGAAATGGGTTCAGTTCAGATTCAAAAGAGGATTGCAGGAATAGATATTTGACCTTCTTTCACATTTTTTTTTTCAAAAGGACACTAAACCAATTTATTTGTAAGAGGAAACTAAGCAAACTAAAGCCCAGATGGAGAAGGGGTATGTGATATAACATCTTTCAGATGTGTTTCACCCCAGACAGAGATTAGAAACACATGAACCTCACGTTTACCTAAGGAACTGTTTGCGGACCTCGTTGGTCACCGGTTCGTTATCCGCCAGGTCGGTGTGGATGCTGAGGGTGTCTTCAGCCAGCAGGACTTCTTCCTCCTCCAGCACTGCAAGACAAGATCACACCTCAGATTTTCTGCCCCATAAAGCAGAAAGCACAGGAAAAGGTGGCTATGCAAAGCAAGAGTCATGAAAAACAATACCACAGCAGGAAAATCACAGTGCATAAAATCCCCCCTGGTTTTACTTCTGTGCATTGCTTCTCTGAATATAATTGCAAAGATCTTGTGAGGCAAGTTGGCTGCCAAATGCATTTACATCACATTCCTTTAACACATCAGAATGTCAGGCAATAGTGTCAGAGTTGGTTTCAGCTAAATTCACTCATAAAGCGTGTTCTAGGCATGATCTGGGGCTGGGGGAGTCACGTCAGAAGCTCCTGCAAGCCCCTGCTGCTGCTGGAAGATGTCGTGCCTGTTCCCCTCTGCCTGGCTGGAGAGCAGCAGTGCTGCAATCAAAGAGCGTGGGAACAGTGTCACACAGGGGAAACATTTACCAAAATGCTTTAATCTTGTACCATTTTGTCAGAATCAAATCAAGCTGAAAAGTAAGCCAAGATTAAAATGTCGTTTGAACTTTGCTACATGAAGAAAAAAAAACAACCACAGATAAAGGGAAAACACACCAGACACTGGGTAGCCCCTTTGATAGCAAGGCCAGTGTTTTTTTTGGCTACTTTGTTTTCCTGATGAGCTTGGCCTTGCTAATTGTAAAATAAATTGCTGAGTTCAAAATAATTTCTATCATAAGAGCTGATTTTCTTCTAGGACAAACCACATGAAATTTTGAAAGGAATTTTTGAAAATATTTCTGAATAACACAGACCTGGCCACAGACAATAATTTTCACGGTAGTGCAGAAAGGCAAATGCAAGGTTGTCATGAAGACCCAGGGGGCAGTTTACAGAGAAAATATCTGTAATCTTGTTGACAGAAAAAGACATGTTTTAAGAAAAAGCAATACTGTACTTGTTGGTTCGTCCTCTTCAATGTCTTCATCCAGTGCATAATTTCGCAGGAATTCTGCAAAGGCCTTGTTTTGTTTCAGAAGGTCTTGGTAAGATCCCATTTCAGAGATTTTGCCATCGACCAGGACAACTATATGGTCTACCTGAGGTAGGAAGCTGATGCCATGGGTCACCAGAATTCGGGTCTGGATAGGGAAAAAGAGAAAAACCACAAATCTTTCAGTTGTCACTGTGGGGACTAACACTACTTAGCAAGTCAAATACTACCAAGTTTTTGGGAAAGGGAGTGAGTTATTGTATCAAGGTGAAATGCCCGTGGAAATAACACTGTCATCATTGGCCAAATGAGCTTGGAAATATGTACATGAACTCACTATGCTCCTGCTGCTGATACAGCCACAGAGGGAATTAAACCAACAGAATTATCATTCCCTCTTTCCGTTATGCTGATTTTCTTTGTAGCCCTTCCCTTTTGAGCTCTGAGATAATCCAAGAAGACTATAACAGGAGCAGAAGGTGCAGCAAAGCGACTGCAGTCTGGTTGCATGTTGCCAAAGGCCTCTGTAACATCAGTATCTGGTACAGCTTCCTCCCCGCACACCTCCGAGTAACAACAAGCAACACTGCCAACCTGTGCAAGTTTCTGCAAATGCCTTGTTTTTGGAGATCTCACAGCGGGGATTTTAAAAGACAGAGCTGGTTTCTGCCTCTGCATGTGCTGACCAGATCACATAATTTCTGGGCGTGAATAAGCTCATCACAGTGTGACAAAAGGTGTCCCCGTTGCCAGCTACAGACAGAAATTCAGGAGCGAGCTGGCACCCAAGCCTGGGTGGTGAAACAGCTTTCCTGTTACCCACCAGTGTTCCCAAGCTTGTGTGCAGTTTTAAGAGGATCTAAATGTCAGCTTACTTTTCCTTTGAGTACCCCATCTGGACCGATGACTTTGTCGAAGATGTGCTTTGCGACGTGCGAGTCCACGGCAGACAGGGGATCATCTAACAGGTAAATGTCAGAGCCGCTGTACACGGCACGGGCGAGGCTCACGCGCTGCCTCTGCCCACCTGACAGGTTGATGCCCTGAAGGGAGAGAGAGGAGAGAACAAAACACATCACACAACAACAGCTCTGACTGTTCATGGCTCTCACCCAGCCTCAACACTCGGATGCTAAATTGAAACATGAGGCGCTGAAGAGAATAACCCGCCCAGAGACAGGAACACAACGCCTCTAGATCTGTTTGTTCACTGCCAAACTTCCACTCACTCAGCAATCTGGAGACACAGTGAGGCTCTTTTTAATAAGCTCCTGAAGGGAGCTGTTAAAACACAGAACTACATAAAAAGGAAAACCGTCAACCGGGATGTAAAATGTAAATTTCAAAGCAGGGCTGTGGCACCTGGAACATCTTTCACATCTCTCATCCTGCATATAAATCCACATCTCCACCCCATTTTATGAAATCTAACTCAAACTTAGTGGCCCGTGAAAAAAAGAATATCTCTGTTGTTAATCACAGATGTAAAAGTTCCTCATTAAAATGTGTTAAGGGATGATCATATCATTTTTTCACTTGAAGCACAACCATATGTTCCCTCCCTTTTTATCCCTACAGGAAAAGGAAGGTCTTTACTTATTCTGGGCAGATGCACCTTTACAATTGCACAATAAATGGAGGGTGCTCTGATCTTCCAGGGCTAGATATGAAATTCTGCATCATAATACAAGCACATGCCTAAAGTTAGGAACAAGTTTAAGTCAAACTGCCTTCCACAGAACTGCCCTGAATGTTTTGGTGTTGATTGTAGCAGGGATGCCATTGTAAAGATCAAACCAAACCAAGTGCTGACTTTTCAGCATTCTCTCTTTAGGTAGACCAGGGATCACCAAGCAGGTCTGACTTGAAAAGGAAATAATTACCTTCTCTCCTATCTCAGTCTGATCTCCTCCTGGCAGCACTTCCAGGTCAGTTTTTAAAGCACAGGCCTCCAGGGTATTTTGGTATTTTTCCTCATTAGGAGCTTGGCCAAACAAAATGTTATCTTTCAGCGTAGCGTTCTGGATCCAGGCTTGTTGAGGCACATAAGCAACAGAACCCTAGAACAAGGAGGGAGAAAGGAAACCTCTGACTTTAACATGCAGCAATTCATGCTTACAGCTCTGATAAAGATCTGCAGCACATATATGGCTCCTGCTTCACACACATTCACATTATACATATATGTGTGCAAATTGTTAATGTATAGTCGATCAAATAAGGAAAGTTCATATAAAACCCAACTGAACAGGTGTGGGTAAAACTCAAACACACAGACAAGCTGCCAGAGGACCAACCAGAATTCCCTCTGCAGCCTGACATTCATTCTAAGCAAGGGCAGGCATAAGCAGCACATTTCTATACCATCATTAAATGGCATTGTGAACAATACCAACCTTCACAGCCACTTCTCCTTCCAGCTTTTCCATTTCACCCAGGAGAGCAGACACCAGAGAAGACTTCCCACAGCCAACATGGCCAACAACGGCAACCAAAGCACCACTGGGGACCAACATATTTATACTGTGGAGGAAACAGGCTGGAAATTAATTAAACATTAGTTTACTAAAGGCATCAGGGGTCTTTAAAGCAGGGCTGAAATACACAGTGACAAATCAGCCTGACCTCAGCCTGACTGGATATAGTAAGCATAGCTTGGTCACTGGTCTTCTCCTCCCTTTCTCGTGTACTGTAACCAGAACTGTAGGAGCAAATGGAAACCCAGCATTAATCTATCTTGATTGTTCCTAAAGCAGTAGGATTCGTAACAAGCCTTCTAAGACCCTCTGCTGTGTCCTATCAGTCCATCAGCAAGTCAAACTGGGTTCATAAGCATTTTGAAAGAAGATAATCTTCCAGAAGTATCTTGGTTCTTAATTTTAAAACCAAGAGCAATCGTAACGAAGTAGTGAGTGAACACATTCCATCTAAAAATGTTCAAACCACTTTAGAACTGTATTTCCAGTGCTAGTAAATAGGGTAAAAACTGACACCAAAAAACCAAGACTTCCCAGTTAAAATCCTTTACTGTTTTCCCCACTATGTTCCTAAAGGTACTGCTTTAGGTCTTGGTGAACTAATAAGGAAATGAGTGATGGACAGAGTCTCTTTGCCATCAAAGTGCCTTTCACTAATGAAATCAATATAAATTGCTGTTTGCACGGATCATGATGCATAACATAAGGAAACATATGCTTCCAGGCAAATTTTGTTTGTATTCATTCAAATAGGCAAATGAGCAAAACAAGCACCCCCCCACAGTCTGGAGGCGGCCCATCCACCACCACAGGGATGAGTCTGCCACAAGAGATGCACATATGTGATGTGTGGTTTTTACTAGACATCGTTCAAAATAGACCTCCTAGAAGCCAGAAACCAGGTAGATGTTGCATTGCAACTGCACAAAAAAGAATTAAAAAAATCTTACTCTTTCAAAGTTGGCTTAAGCTCCTTTCCCCAGCTGAACGTGGCATTTGTTACACTGATGGCATTGCCTGTGTGACAAAAACACAACAACAGAGGAGGCAGGAAATGTGTTACACAGAACAGCACGACTGAGAGACGGGCAGACAGAGGGATCTTTATTTACGGGTGTTTCACATACACTGCACTTCCCTTTTCTGCTGGCATGGGAAGCACAGTCTCATGCCTGTGGGTCACAAGACAGGCTTGTTCAGAGTGAAAATAACCAACTGCAGCTTAAGCTATAGACTGTGAGTTAACAGACCTATGGAGCTGAAAAGCTGCCCTGCCTCACCCTGCCATGGGGAGGCTGGTCCCAACATGTGCTCCTCAGTATCCCCCTGCAACTGAGCACAACTTTGCTTCAGAAACCACTTTCAAGTCAGTAGGAGGTCACTGCATGCTGTTGACTTTGATGCATCAGATTAAACTTGACTCTGTGCAGCTTTTTGCTTGTCACACTAACAAGTCATAGATCCGCAGGCTTTCTTTATTTCCTGGTGGGGTGGTGCAGAACAGTAATTTCATGACAGACACACAGCCATTCCTCCTCCTCCTCTGTCTGTGGCATCACATGTAACATAAAGTTTCAAGCTATAGTGTCACCAAAGCGTGTTACATGATGAAACACTTTTGTTTGAGGCCACCTGGCTCACTCAATTATTTTGGGATACTGTTTCCAACACAAGAAATCAAAACTGTGTACAAAGCTTCTGAAGACTTGTGCAGTGTGAAAGGTTTGAACAAGCCTTGCTGTTCCTAGTCAGTGGATGCCCTTCATATTCAGTGCTGTGAGCATCCAGCACATTGCAGATGCAAACTCAGGCCTAACAAGCTCAAAGTTCAAAAATATTGCCAGAAACTCTTCTTATTTCCACATAGCCTGAACACTAAACATGTACTTTTCAAAGCAGCAGCTTCCTCTTGTTTGCTTTTTTTTCTAACCCAAGATTACTATTGTTATTTTCTTTTTGCCTTTTTTCATAACTCCACCAGTCCAAAACAGATATAAGATGCTGTTGTATTAGCTTCATTTAAAAAAAATACCAATGTCTTTACCTGGTGAAATCACCTTTGTTTCCACACAATTTGGATCAAGTTCATCATGACTCAGGAACTGCTGAATTCTCTTTAGGGAAACACTTGTCTAAGAAAAGAGCGTGGTGTTATTTTATTATTCTTTTAATGAGAACTTAATGCTCTTACTACTGAAAAAGAAAGCATGCACAATGGCTTAAGCCTTCCCCCCATGGGCTTCCTGAACAGTGACTCATTCTTTCCCTGCAATCACACTTATGCTGAAATCTGAGCTTTTAACCGCAAAATTTCTCAGACCAAGCTGAGTTTATCTGAGTGAAGCAAAATTCACACAGACAGGCTTACTCAGATGATGTCAGGCTTTCCAAGACAGGGCAGCAGTAGAGAAAGGGTATTAAAAAGAAAACCAGCTAACAGGCAGATGCAAGGGATCTCTGCATTCCAGAAATCAGGGGCACGTGGGGTTCTTTCTGTTCGAGTTGTTCAGGACAACCCACGCACCCAACCCTCCTTACCTGCGCAATATTGCTAATGACTTGTGGAAGCATATTGAGGGGAAACTTCAAGATATTGAACAAGGAGAGGGAGACAAAAGCCTTTTCTGCATCCAGGATATTCTTCTCATCCACTGAGACATAGACGGCAAATGTCGTCAGCGCTACCTGAAAGCCAGAAAGGGAGTTTACTGTGAGACGTGTGTTACATTCTGACATTTTAAAAAGCACTCAGGCCTGATGGGCATCTTGGAAATAAAAGTATCAACCACAAAACTCCTTGTTTCTGACCTTTTCAATACACTTTAAGAATGACAAGTCATTTGGACAAGTTGGTACAAAAAAAAAGGGCACGCGGAATGAAATAACTTTCAGATTACTAATGGTTATGTTGAGTTGAACTAAGAGGTTCAAGAGGTGAACTACAGAACTTGGGTAAATGAAAAGGAAAAGCTGCTATCAGGCTGTGGTTTGGCTGCTTTTCACACTCCACCCAACCAAATTTTCCCATTGTAAACTGCAGGCTAAGCAAACAACCTCTACTAATCAATAGAAAAGGGAGTAAAATCCAAGTTATTTGTTGGTTTGCTGTATGACAGGGACCATCCACTGTGGAAGGACCACTCCATGCATTAAACTAATGGTGAGCAGGAACTGGAATGTGTATTGAAGGAAGTGCATTAACTTTAAGGAACCATGAAAGGGGCAGGATCTCAAGGCTGTTCAGGACATTTCTGTAGGGCCAGGTCTTTGATCTCGAGAATAGTTGGCTATGAATATTTTTGACCAAGGACTTATCTGAATGGTTTTATTCACCAAAACCTTTGCTGCAAAAGGGATCAAAGTGCAATGAAGTGGAAAATAGAGGGAAAGACAAAATTGAGGAAAAAGCATTTCAGAATTGGCAATGTATCATTTGGGCTTTAGTTTTTACATTAAATCAATCTCTTTTTTAGGTTGTAGAATAATTTGACAACTCCCTCTCCCACTAAAACAAGGAGAGCACTGTAACACGAAGGTAGAAACGAGAGCTAAAGACAGACGTTGTCCTGACTGACTCAATTAAAATTTCCTTTGCTATTTTTGCTATTCACAGATATCTCTGAGGTTTCATATTCTAGTTTCAATTTGTTATGGGAAGTACTTTGAAGTGGTTGGAAATTCTCCTGAGACAGCTATTCCCAGCTTCCACTGGCAGCCTCTATCACAAAATACTTTAATACCGATTAACCAAAAGGCTCCTGAGAACAGGGAACTCTGATTCAAGGCATGCGAATAATTTTTTCGAAAAAGTATTTACATTTTATTCCTATGTACATTTAGCAGGCAGAAAGCCTCACACTTATCCTTCAAGGATGTACTTGCACGGCTTAGAGAGTCATGCAAATTCAATTTACCAGGAACGGGGCGCTGATCCAGGCAAAGGTGGACAAAGAATTGAGATAAGCAGATTTTTTCAAAACTCGCAGCTCGTTCTTTCGTATCTCCAGGACCTTTTGTGAAAAGGATGGTTCCCACGCATACAGCTTCAGCACCTTGATGCCACCCAGGATCTCATTCATTAATTTAATGCGGGAGTCTTTATATCGCATTTGTTCCACCTGGGTTATTGGTAAACACAGGAGACAGAGTGTCACAGCAAGGGCCAGATGAGAGCTTTCAACATATGTCTCACAGCTGTGCTGGTCCTTGGGCTATTTCTAAAGAGGATGCAAAAGGTGATCACAGAAAGCCAGACTGTTATCAGTGAGCTTTTTGTGCAAGTCAATACCGCCAAAGAAACCAGAAATCAAAGAAACTGCCTGGAAAGCAGAGTACAAAAGCTTTCCACTCATCTTCACTCTGAGGAGCTACATTTTTTAAACCATTTTAAGATTCAGGCACTTCACAAAAATACTACCCTGCTACTTCCTTTGATTTCTTCAGATTTTTTTTCCTGATATGCACAGTTGTATTTCTTATGGCATCCGTTGAAAACTGTGGTTACTCCTAGTTGTTTTCTTCCTATATATTAGAATACAGTGCTTCATTCAGTTCTTGAAAAAATAAAATTCCTGCTCAACTGTATACACAAAATTCATACACACATGCACAGAAAAATATGCAGCTCTGAGCGTCTCACAGTGTGCAAGGGAGAAAAGGAATGTTAATCTCTTGATGTCAGCATCAAGAGATTCAATGGTAAGTCTGTATGTCTCTTTAAGCATGTAATAATACCCCTCTGTTACTAAGGCTGTGCTTAAATGTCATGATTCAGATTCATTTTCCAACTCTTACCTTTTTCACATCAATAGTTTGATTTTTTTGGTTTTTGTTTTTTTTTTTTAAATCTTCCAAACAGTCACTGACAGGCTGCACAGCACAAGCCATTTATGAGATTTTTTCTAGCACAAAGCCAGAGGGCACTGTTATATTGGTATTTTTTCAGACTTCTTGACTAGAGACAACTAAGACTACAAAGAAAGGAATAAAAGAGCCTTTTACCTTAAGCTAATAAATGAAATTTGGCCCAGCTCAGTAGCAGTGAATGTCAACACTGGCTATTAGCATAAAACCCAAGCTGCCAGGTTTCGCTCCCATCTCTGAAAACATTCATTTGCAGCTTAAAGAACAGCATTTATTTCAGTGCCTTTCTCCAGATACTCCTAGAGGCAGATACCAGGTGAAGGGATATGGAGACAAGGAAATCTCTTGCTAATCCCAAAAGCTCCTCCAGGAGTATGAAGATCCACTGCCTCAATGCCACACCTTTCCCCTAAATAGCATTCAATTTACTATGGAAAAAC